TGAAGGCGTAGACAAAGGAGACCCGCGTAGGTGGAGGCGCACGAGTGCGGTAATTGGACTCCTTCAATAACCTAATTTTAATGAAAAAAATAAAAATGGATAAAGGGTATGATAGGAAGGGTTTGACACCATAAATAGCTAAGTTTGTAAAAAACAATGGGTAGTGCTAAATGTGTATTCTTGGGGGAATTAGAGTGCTGTGTAGGGTGATTTCTTTTATTATATTTGTCATTATTATTTGTAAAATTACATACTATTATTATATTTATTATTATTAGTAAGGAGTGTAATTATTATTATTATTAATATTATTATACTACGGGCACTATTATTATTCTTATCATTAGCATTCCTATTTACAATATAAAAAAAATGAATAGTGTAGAATAAGACGAGATATATACATAATCCGATCCTATCCATCATAGAATTCTAATCACATGTTAATAATGAATTAAAATATAAAAGTTTTAAAGCGTGATTATATTGAGAAATTTGTGTATAACAAGTCCAAGATTTAAATTGCGCATAATAAGTTTTTTTGTTAACTAATTTTGTAAACATTACTAGTTGACATGACAAGTCAAAAAGGTTGGTCCAAAAAGCACGCCAAATGTCACAATTCTAGAAGGCTAATTTTCAAATTTATATATAAAGGTTAAAAGATGATTGATAAAATTATCATTTTTATTCTAAGACTTAACTTTGAAAAATGAGAAGATGTAAAAACTCATTTAAAAAAATAAGAGGAATTTCAAAAAGAATAAGAATAATACTACACCGTAACAAAAATTCATCAAAAATTGATGTTATGTGCAGATATTAACGAGTTGTTTTTTGTAGCTTAACGAGCTAGGTAAGTGGGCGATCTGAGTAGAAGGAGGGCAGATCCCTCAGATCCGAATAGATCTCCGCCGACGACTTCCCCTTTGTTTCCGTTTCAGATCTATTTTTTCTATATGCAAGAGAAAGGGGTTGATGGAGATGGAGGGTCACCGGTCGGCGTTTGATCCGCAGAGGAAGAAGGCTTTTCTTTATACTGCTCATTCATCATCAATCCCCTGACACCTCTCCGATCACAATTATATGGTTCTTGAAAACCAAAAACTCATTCTCTTTCAACATTCACTGCTTTTCAGTTAACAAATATAAAAGTTTATATGGTGTGATTTGTCGGCCTCTGCCCGCTAGCATGGACTCGGCCTCAACAGTTTGCCTTGGCAAGGCATGAGCGAAACTCATACTTGTCCCCTGTCGCCACAATACTAGGGCATTGGGAAACATCCTCCATAAATAATGCATCGTGCAATATAATGTATTAATGCATGTATTAAAACACATGTTCATTATCCCCCTATCATGGATCCCACACCGTATGGACCTTGTTGTAGACAATATTTACATAACAAATAGGTAGACATGCAATGTATCTCGTATATAAACACTCCCTCTACTCCAAGGGAAGGTATCCAAATCACTATTACAACTAATACTATAATCAAGGGTATATTCAAGCTCGGCTTGCACTCTTACATTTTAAAAAACTCGACTTGTTCGTTACTCTCCACCTAATTTACCTTAGGACCTGGTTCATAAACCCATCACTGGGTTGGCAAGGAATCGTCATCCTTGTTTTTCAAACATAGCAATATAAAAAGTTCAAATGTTTCGGAACCTCATTCATCCGAACTTCTTTAGAATTAACATGCGTTCTCATGATAGCCAATGAATATCCCAGTTATTAACACCCTTCTCCCCCCCACACTAGAAAGCATTTATCAATTTCTCTATGTTAGAACAGGTATATCAAGGGAGGATAAAAATACTCATGGCAAACTGGGGCATCGCCTGATCTACTGTCTTAAGTAATACCTCCTTGCCCGCATTGGAAAAATTCTTACACTTTTATAAAGATAAACCCAAGATATGGGGCATAGTATTCGGGCTAAAAGATATACTGAATTTATGGAAATTAATTATTGCCTGTCCTAATAAATTAAACGCTCATACTCATTGATGGGTAATAACCCAAGGATACCACCCGGTTGGTTCATCGAACAGCACGCGTCTTTTTCAGCCCGGGTTATTTGACCAGTTGGATGAGGAGACCAGATGCCAATACCCGAAAATTTACTCAAGTGCACCTGGTGGGCCGGCCAGCTGCCTGACCGGTTGAATAATCAGAGACGTGCTTGACGTGCTTAGGATTATTATAAATACCCTTAAAAGCCTCATTTGTGAGGCATGTTTTAATTAACCTACACGGCTTGTATTTGTAATAACTCCTATTATCATTAATAACAAACCGGATTACAGGTGATTCCACCTACAACCCTTCCGATTACTCACACTTAATATTTGCGTGGTAATTTACACCATCAAATTGGCGCCATCCGTGGGACCTATTACAAAAAAGTCATGGCCAGTAATCAGGAAACCGTGATCTCACAAATTTCTACTCCCGCTGAGAATGTCATTTCATTCCCGGGAGGAAGTTCCCAACCGTCAAGCCAGGTTCCTACCCCCATCATCACCATTCCACCACCTATCCCATTCACTTCCCCCGTGAACCCTGTTCCCGTTTTTCCTTCAAATTTCCCCGGACCCCTTGATCCAATGTACAGCCAGGCTCTTCAGAATTTTGGACATTTCATGTCCATGTTCCAGCAGCCGGGAGGGTTTTCACTTTTCAATCCGGGATTGTATCCACAATCCTCGCCTCAAACTAACGTCATTCGCCCGANGTGGTAATTTACACCATCAAATTGGCGCCACCCGTGGGACCTATTACAAAAAAGTCATGGCCAGTAATCAGGAAACCGTGATCTCACAAATTTCTACTCCCGCTGAGAATGTCATTTCATTCCCGGGAGGAAGTTCCCAACCGTCAAGCCAGGTTCCTACCCCCATCATCACCATTCCACCACCTATCCCATTCACTTCCCCCGTGAACCCTGTTCCCGTTTTTCCTTCAAATTTCCCCGGACCCCTTGATCCAATGTACAGCCAGGCTCTTCAGAATTTTGGACATTTCATGTCCATGTTCAAGCAGCCGGGAGGGTTTTCACTTTTCAATCCGGGATTGTATCCACAATCCTCGCCTCAAACTAACGTCATTCGCCCGATCGTTCCGACAAACCTGATCGGGGAGATGGATAAAGCTGGTCCATCCCGGTCTAGAAGGAGCCGGCCCCGTAGGTCACAGACAAAGGTGACCTCGGACGGGGATGTGCGTTCAGTGCACAGCAAAGATGAGGATTGGGACGTCCCCCAGGCGATCAAGAAGTTGAAGGGAAAGGCAGTTCAGCCAGAAGGATCTAGGAGGTCGGCCTTTCTGAGACTTGGCCATGATGGCCGAAATCAGAACCAGTCAGCAAAAGAGCGGCTTGGGGTAGAGACCATTCCAGCTAGTGCCTTTAATCGTGCAAGGAGAGGAGCCGGACGACCTGGTCAGACCAGGCGAACGGAGCCATCCCCACGCGATGAGCCCCAGCACAGCCGGGCACCACGAGAGGAAGAAGCCAAAAGCCACCCCAGGCACACGACCCGTTCACACGTTGAGCAACCTCGGGATCGTGTGGGCCGGGTCGAGGCACGTCTGGAGAAACTACAACGCCGGGTAGACCGAGAAGAAAAGAAGAAGGTTCTGCTGAACGAATCTCCGTTCACAGACCGGGTTCATGAAACACCATTTCCAAAGAAGGCGAAACTTGAAGTCTCGAAGTTCACCGGGAAGGAGGACCCGGAAATTCACGTCAAAACCCTCCATCAAAGTGGGCGGATGATGGGTCTTTCCGGGGATGAGAAATGTTTGCTTTTCTTTCAGACCCTCCGCGGCCGAGCCGCCGAGTGGTTTCATAACTTACCGGCCGGTGAAATCGATTCTTTCGATGAACTGGCTGAGGTGTTTCAAGAAAAGTTCAAAGAAAACTGTACCAAGAGGAAAAAGTTTACCTACTTGAGTACAGCCGGGCAGCGAGAGCACGAGGATCTGACAAAATTCCTCACCCGGTGGAAGGATGAGGTTGACAAGGTGGAGGAGATGGACGACAAGACAGCAATGTCCCTCCTTGTATCCGGGCTCCGGTCCGGAGAACTATACAAAGAATTCTGCAGGAGGCCTCCCCAGTCCTATCAAGAGGCCTATAACACGGCCTGGGACTATGCTGACGCTGAAGCCCAGGTGTCATCCAAGAGGGAAGCCGAGCAGGGCCACTCAAAGGGAAAAGTTTC